CCCGATGGCGCGCACCGCGCTCGACGCGGCCTTGATGATGAACGTCATCGCCCGCCCCGATGCGCGCGACGGCTCCGCCCTCCCGGCGGACGACACCGACTACACGCGCAAGCTCGGCAGGCTGCCGAAGAAGCTGAAGGTCGGCTTCGCGCTGCGCCTCGGCGATCATCCGCTCGACATCGAGGTCGCCGCGATGGTGACCAAGGCGGCGCGCGACTTCGCGGCGCTGGGCTGCAAGGTCGAGGAGGTCGAGGCGCCCTTCCCGTTCGGCGAGGCGAGCCGCGCCTTCGTGGTCCACTGGCTGTCCGCCCTGCAACGGCTGCTGCAGGTCTTCCCCGAGGCGCGCCACGAGGAGTTCGATCCCAGCCTGCTGGCCGGGGCCAGGGCGGGCCTGCGCTGCACGCTGCAGGACGTCGTCAACGCGCAGGTGACGCGGCGCGACCTCACGCTGGCCTGGAACCTGTTCTTCGAGAAGTACGACCTGCTGCTGACGCCCACCGTCGCGGTCCAGCCCTTCGCCGCCGGCACCAACCTGCCGCCCGGACCCGACGGCAAGCCCAACGCGATGTGGTCGCCCTACACGCCGCAGTTCAACCTGACGCGCCATCCCGCCGCGACCGTGCCGATCGGGCTGTCGCGACAGGGACTGCCGGTCGGGCTGCAGATCGTCTCGGCACATTACAAGGACGCGCTGGTATTGCGCGCCGCCGCGGCCTTCGCCGAGATCCATCCCCTGACATTCCCCGTCCTTCCGGAGACCAAGTAGATGACCGCCGACCTTGCGATGATGCCAGCCCACGAACTGGTGAAACTCTTCAAGGCCCGCAAGGCCTCGCCGGTCGAGGCGACCAAAGCCGCGCTCGCCCGCATCGACGCCTTCAACGGCCAGCTCAACGCCTTCCAGCATCTCGATCCCGATTCGGCGATGCGCCAGGCGCGCGCTTCCGAGAAGCGCTGGAAGAAGGGCGGCAAGCGGCTCTCCGACATCGACGGCGTGCCGATCACCATCAAGGACATGGTGCTGACCAAGGGCATGCCCACGCGCATGGGCAGCCTCGCCACCGATCCCGACGGCCCCTTCAACGTCGACGCGCCGGTGGCGCAGCGGCTGCGCGAGGCCGGCACCGTGCTGCTCGGCAAGACGACCTCGCCGGAGTACGGCTGGAAGGGCGTCACCGATTCCAGGTTGTTCGGCGCCACGCACAATCCGTGGAAGATCGGCCGCACGTCCGGCGGGTCTTCCGGC